GCACAACGAGGGAGGGGGTGTGTTGGGGGGGGGGGGGGAGCAAAGCTCATTAGCTTTTTGGCACTCATTTGGGGGAATTAGTTTTTAGAAATCCTTTCACCTCAGGCAGTAGTTGCAGGCGGTTCCTTCCACCGAGCTGCACCACTTGCTCGGGGATCCCGGCGCTGCTCCTCCACATAGGGAGATGGGCACACGTACACATATGTATGCACATGTATGCATGCAATACCCTGCCAGGGGAAGGAGCAGCCCCTTCGGAGTGGGAAGGGGGCTCAGTGCAAGGCCTCATCAAGCCCGTGTGTCTGTGCCCCACGCCGATACCATCAAAAGTACCTAAAGGGTCGCGCGCCCACATTTCAGGTGCCAGGCAGTCTTTAGCCAACACAGAGCCCCAGTCCCTCTTTTACCACCCTCAGCTGTCCAACCTCCCACGCTGGCCTTGCCTCTCCTTTTCCCACCTCCTTTTGATTTCAAGTAATCCGCTGCGGATGGAGACGCCCCCGGTCTGGCCACAGCCTTCCCTGCTGCTGCCTTTCTGGGTATCCTCACAGCTCCGTAGATGTCCGTCACCGCTAGCAGCAGCATCTCGACCCCATAGAAGATGAGGTGCTGGGATGTGGGACAAGCCTCCTTTCGGAAAGGCCACAGTGAAACTCAGCCTGACGGTCCCTGCCAAGGGGAAAAAAATTCCCCGTCAAGCCCAATGCACTATGCAAATAAATAGCTGAATCTGGAAGCTGTCGGTGGCATGTGCATTTGTCCTAGGAGCTAGTATAAGAGCAAAAAAGAATTACGCACGTCTGCAAAGAGGCAGAGACTGACCCCTGGCAAAGGGTTTGCTTGGATAAAAGAAGAAAGAGGAGAACACTTGCCAAGCTGGGTTTGGTGCAAGAACCAAACCCTGTGGCTGGGCCTGGAGCCTCCACACAGACCCTGAGGAGTAGGTCTGATCTGTGGGACTTGCAGCAGAAGACATCCCTGTGTGAGGTGATACGGAAATCTCTGAATAATGGCTGTGCTGCTAAGGTGAATGGTCGTGGGTAACTGAAAAACAGAAAGCTGTTTCAAGAGCAGCAGGATTTGTAAAGCTTCTAGAGATTTCTACAGGCTTTTGTCCTTATTTCCAGATACACTCCAGGGGAGTAACCTACCCTGTCTGTCACCACAGAGTCCCCTCAGTACTGCTGGCTTCTGCCTGTCCCCTCACTATTGCCTGCCGGGGGCAGCATGTGCTTTGGGGTGTTGGCCGCCAATGCACCTGCCCCAGATCAAACAGAACAAATAACAGCAGGCTTTCTCTCTGAGGAGGCATTAATTCAACTCTCTTCTTCCTAGCTTATCTTTCAAATAGAAATAGATATTTAAATATATTTATCCCTTTGCCAAGGTGGGTAGCATGTTCTGGGGAGGGAGGGGTGGGTGGATGGATGGATAGATAATACTGTTGTGTAAGCTTTGTGTCCTTAGAAAATCAGACAAAAATGTTTTTTTATTTTCCAAGAGGATATATTCCATTAGATTATCAAGCCAAGCTTTCATCTCATCAGAGGAAGCTGAGATAACAGCACTTAGTAATAATAACCAATAATGTCTTGTTTTGGTCAAATGTCACTGCTGCTGGTGGGTTCCCCACGAGCTGTGCTTTCAGGTACAGGCACATGTGCCGAGGGGCCCAGCCAGCACTGCTGGGCGGTGTGGGTAGCTGCGCCGGGAGACCTACAGAAAAGACACTGAAGGTGCCTGGCCTCTGCCATTTAAATCAGTGTTCCTGGAGTCTGGTCCTCTCTGTCACGCCTAGGTGCCCCCTTCTGCGTGCCACCCGCTTAGGGCCAGCCAGTTGACTATGGCAGGTTGAGTCAGTGAGAAAATGTGCTGTTAAGAGCTGACTGGGCTTCTGAGTAGTGGAGGAGAGCTGCTGAGACCTCCGCTAACATGGGATTACAATAATAAAAAATAACGATCTGATCTGATAACAGTGCAGCCAGCACAACTGATGCAATCTGTGGCCATGCCTGCAGCTTCCCAGAGCCAACATTTCAACTCCATTCACCAAAGCAGCTCAAGTGCTCTCTTTGGCGGGGACACAAGGGCAGACGGCTGCTCCCCACTGCTGTGACTCTACTCCATAGTGCAGTTTCTGCTTCCCTGGGGCTCGAAGTCAGGGCAGTGTTGATGCATCCTGCTAGCAATGTTACCCAAGTTCTTCTCCTGGGCAGGAGCTCAATTTTCAGGGATCGTGAATCAAGAAGGACACACAGCGTTGGCAGGAGACTTTGTGGACACGGCAAATGCAAGATAAGATATGCGCTCTTGGATCTCTAGGCAAAAACTTGTAAATGTCCATTGCAGGTTAATAGTTCAAAATGCTAAGTGACAATTTCCTCTCAATGAACTTCTTCATTTTCTGAAGCCATAAATGTCAGTCAATTGCTCCAGCAGCTGCCGTGAAGTCCTTGGGTGCCTCCAGACATGTGGTCAGATGTTTGTCCAGCTTTCAGGACAAGTTTGAGCCTGGGGCAAAACCAGGAGGTGCAGCTGCACCTGGCATTGGGCAGCTACCACGTTCCCAGTCACTCTGCCTTGCCATCATTTGCTGAGAAGCAGGCCTAGGCATACATGACGTGGCTGTCTCAAACGTTAGCAATGTCTGGTGGGATTGAGTGACCCCACTCCCTTTGCCTTGACCAGCCATAACGGACTGGAAGATTTTTGGGAAAGGACAGGGACCTCCTGGGTGGCAGGCTGTGCTGCAGGAGGGAGAGATGTGATCGCTTCTTTTGCTCCCAGCAGCCAGAATCCACTGACCTTTGAGAATGTCTGCAGGGTCTGTCTGTTAACTCCAGCTTTGGGTGGGTGGAGGACACCTTAACGGGCTGGGGTTAGTAGGGGACTGTTCTCCCTGAGTGGCTTCACCACCGATGGTTATCGCTGGCTGTTTTCTTGCAGTCTCTGGGGAACTGGGGGAGCAAACCACAGAGAAAATCCCAAGAGGTCATAACGTAGTTGTATCATAACTGAGAATTCTACCAAAGTACCTACCATGTGATTTCTGAGCCTGATTAAATTGGGATCTAGATCATGAAATCTCCCCAGCTAATTTGAAATTCCCAACCACCCAGCCTGGCTAGGTAATTCTTTATTTTTGGTTTCTATGGGGTTAAATCAAATGCATTTCCTTATGGGACCAAACAGAAACACCATGCTATTGGGAGCGAGCAAAACCATTTTAAGACTCTAAATGCGGGCCCAGTGAAACACTTCGCTTTAGGCACAAGAAAAGTCCTCATGACTTCACTCAGGCCGCTTCCACGCTTAAAGCCATGGATGGTTTTGCTGGGCTGTCCCCGAGAGCTGGGACTCACAAACCAGTGTAGGAATAGCTGGTTCCTGTTGACTCACACTGGCACTGTAAGGCTGGTCTGGGCAAAATGGACAGGAGTGAGCTGAGAAAGAAAGGCACTTCTGTTTTAATCATCACACCCAGCAAAAGAGAAGACCCCGGCACATGTAAGACGGTCCTTCCCAAGCCAGATCCCAATAAGTAAGATCAGACCGTTATCTTCCTGTCTCCAATCCATCCCTCCATGCTAAAAAACTTCACTAACAGGAGAGGAGGGACTTTGCATGCTGAAGATCTTACTTAACCAGCTGTTATCAGAGTATTTGCAGGGTGCGTGAACTCTCTTGCCTTACATCACTGCTCCAAGCGGAGGCTGTCGGCTTTCTGATAAAACTCTGTGTCACTTACGAAGAGAAATTCTGCATTTTGGGGATGATGCACACTTGATAAGAAAGATGCCTTATGCTGTTATCAATGTTGACTTACGAGGGACATGCAGTAAGCGTTGCATCATACATGAATATTGTTGCTATCTGCGTCTCAGAGAACTGAAAAGTTCACAGGCAGATGCAGACAGCGCCTGTATCTCCGCGGGGCAGCCTGCGAGCTCCGAGCTCCTCACAGCCTCCCCAGAGCCCTTCAGAGGATCCCTTTGCTGTTGCATTCGCAGCCAGCGTGTGTACCCCTGACAGCTCATGCGCACTTGCTTTCCTCCCCCCCCCGCAACGTGTATATTTGTTATAACACCTTGGGAAGGAAAAGGGTGCTGCCTTTGCAAAGTTAGATAACTGGCCCAGTTCTTTGCTGCTGGATTGGCTGGGAGAGGCCCTGTAAAACCACTCTGGCCAGCTGCCCGGCCCAGCCCTGTGAGGCTGCAAGCTATTTCCACAATTGGCCACTTCAGAGTGGGAGAGGGGGAGGTGAAGACAGCCAGGCAAACTGCATCTCCACCAGGCTGCTTCCCTTCTTCCTTGTTTTTTCTCAGCTGGAGTAGTTTGGCAAGCCCGCTCCGGGTGCCTCCGAGCCCTTCTCACAACGCCCAGACGAGTGGGGTGTAGCGTTGGCGGCCAGGCACCTGGCCCTCCCTTAGCTGTGCTAGCACCGTCCCAGGACAGGACATGTCAAGCTGCAACAGCCCCGGGGGCCCTGCTGCCCTGGACTTTCCAGAAGTCCTGAAGTCCTTGCTGGAGTACTCCTTACCCTGGACCAACAAGATGACAGGTAGGATTGAGGGAACGCATGCTGGGGTTTCTGATTTGATTTCTCCTTCCCCTCCTTAAGTTGCAAGGGGAGAATGGGGCAGAAGATCTTGTTTGCTGCAAGCCCCTCAAGGGTGTGTTTCCCCCAAGTGTCTAAGTCAGATGGGAAGTCCTGGCACCGAGCATGTTGTGCAGCTAGGAGGAAAAACGGCAGCAATGGATTGATTACAAAATCAGTCAAGAGGGCTGAGCTCCTGATCCTTTTAATCTCTGTGCTCAGCTACTTTTTGGAAACCCTGAAAGCTTTGTGCACAGAGAAGGCTTGGGCACAAATCTCTGTGCTCATGTAGGAGCGACTTACAGGATTGCCATCCAGGTTTTCCCATGGTTAATAACTCCTGAGCCTCCAGACATTGCCTCTTCCCGGACGTGGACTGTGCAGGGACCCCGGCCCGCATGGGGCAGGCTGAATCGGTGCAAACTTTGTGTTTGATGGCTGCAGTTGTTTATTAGTGGAAGCTGGGGCAGGGAACACGGCAAATGTGTTTTCTTTGCAAGTGCACTTCTGTACTTTCCCGTTCTCGGTGCAGCATCCTAGAAAACAAATGGAAAGGACCCAGGAGGTTATTTCGTCTGGGCTTCTGCTGCGCTGAACACTTCGCTCGTGCTGGACTGATCAATTCTCTATTGCGGAGCATTCTCTGGGTGCCCATCGCACAGCACGGGGACTCTCTGGTTTTGGATAGGATGTCACACGCCCTTGGCAAGCTGCTTTTTGGTTGTTGTGTTTTAATGTTCACTGCCGAGTGCTGGGGAGGTGTGTGGGAACAGCTCAGCTCAACAAGCTCATGTCTAGGCACGAATGAATTGAACTCACAGAAACAAACATGCACCGAGCTCGCTTTTCTGTAGGGAGTTGCTACCAGGACATGCGGGGGGCTCTGCAGTCTTGAGGGGCAGCGTGACCCAGGCGGTGGGAGCAGAGAAGCCAGATACACAATGTGGAGTGGGCTCCTGCTCTCGTTCTGGGGCCAACAGGAGAAAAGGTTGCTGCTGCAGCAGTAAAGCACTCGTGGCAGAAAAGGCAGCTGCCTACACCTGCTGGAATACAGCGAGCCCTGTGGCGCCCGCACAGCTCCCTGCGGGAAGGGGGTTAATAGGGCAAGGGGAGCTGCCATACCCCCTACGGGGCTCATCTGTTCACATTGCTCCGCTGCTGCCACCTGTGAGCTGGCTCCCTCCTTTGCTGAGACTTTGCCCGCTAAGGGGTGTGTTTACCTATCATGCAGTATGAAGCTGTGTGTGGGGACCAGGGCATGTTTTCCGAGCTGACTGATACCCAGGTAGAAAGCGGACCTGGCAGAGAGGAGGCAGTAACGGCCAAGGGAGGCTCACATGGTGCAGAGCCTTGCTAAGCTGAAGTTTGGCTGCCTCTCTGGGATCTCTGGTCTCCACAGCCAAGTGGATTGAATTAATCCAAGGGAGGAGTGCTGGCAAGATTTATCTGTTTGGCAAGAGTTGGAGTGGCGGGTAGAGGGGAGATCAATGATTTGCGGAGGGAATAATTTAGTCAACTCAATATGGCTTATTTGGCAGCGGAGGGTGCTGTTTTGTGGCAGCTTTCTCCCTCAGCCCCAGGCCCCCCCTGCCTCTCAGCATCACCTCCCGTAACCCTTAGAATTGTCCTTATTAATGCCACTTCCCTCCCCAGGCCAGCATTTCTGTCATGGTCTTCTTCCCACAGAGCTCAGTTCTCTCCTTCTGGGTCTCCATACCAACACACCACTCGTCTGGATTTGCTGGGTCTCAGGCCTCTGTCTGAAATGTGTTCTACTATTCAAACCTTCCAGTGGGGCCCGTTGTACGTGTCCTGTCCCCCGTCCCCCTGTGCCTAGCACTGGGCTGCTTCTTGCTTGCCTGCCTGCAGCATCAGAGCTGGGCTGTTCTGCAGCATCTGGCCCTCACAAGACTCCCAGCAGTAACAGCCAAGGCTGTGATTCCTCTCCTCACATCTCATTGTCCTCCTCTCTTCCTTCTCAGCTGCAGAGCAGAAGAGAAATTGTAAAAATCGAAGCGGATCCTAGCTTAACCCAGAAGGTACAGCTGATAGGGCAGTGCCCACGTTCTGCCGGCAGTGGCTTGAGCCCCTAATCCCTAGAGGTGGCGAGGAAAACCTCTCAGAGCAACCTCCCTCCTGGCTGGCAGGGCAGGGCTGATGCCTGAGCGGGGTGCCGTGAGAGGGAACCCACAGTAATGCTCCCCAGGAACTCCCTCCCGCCTTCGGGCCGAGCAGCTAACGCCGTACAGGCTAAACCCTCTCCAAGCAGTCACAGCTCAGTGGTGGGGCAGAACAAACCTTAGCGCGGTGGAGCTTGGGTGGAAATGTGCTGGAGGAAGAACATGGTCGATCTAAAGGGAAAAGCCCTGGAGTAGAGGCTGCTGAGTGGGTTTAATAACCTCCATTCATATGGACCTTACCCAGCAAAGCAGTTGCCATTGAGATCTGCAGGGGGGATGTGCACGGAGCCTGTTCCTTGAAGGAGCGCTGTACAGTACTGAGACACAGCGTCATCCCCGGGGGCCTCCAGCATCGACAACAATGGAACAAAGCGACCATGAGAGCTGTAACTGAACAGGAAGCCTGTGGCCTGCCCTGCTTTGGCTACATCCCCTTGCTCTCTTCCTAGAAGCTGCCCCTTGCCAGCCTCAGTAGGTTGCATTCTCTGTCTACCGCCTGCCACTAGCTGTTTCCTGGGCAAAAGCATCGCTGCGAGCCTGCTGCCCCTTGCCGGGCTGCGTGTGCTGCCTCTGTCATGTGTGGTCCGACATCTGTGTTTCATTGCCCTGTGTGAAGTGTCATCTCCCTTTCACGCACGTGCTTTTTTCTTCTGCCAGCTGAGCTTGGCAAGGCGGAGGGAAGCTGTCTGCGGAGGACAAGCAGCAGCCCTGGAGCACGCTGGGCAGCAGAGCATGACCTGTTCTGCCCGCTTATGCAGGTGGATTTATTGGCCTCGATAAACGATGCATTAACACACACTGTTCCAGCCTGGATTAACAAGGTGGCCCTTTCCTAGCTCCCCGTCAGGCAGCACGTGTGCAGGGGTTGCGTCAGGAGTCCCACCCCGTCCCCTGCGACGGAGGCAGCAGATTCAGCCTCCCAGCCTACGCAAGAGAAGTAGCTGGCAGGCGGGGCAGCTCCCTGTCTGCCCGGGTTGGATGGAGACGTCCCCTGGTCCTCGTCGCAGTAAGGCAACGGAGGAAAGCACCTACCCCACGCGACTTCCAATCCGTTCCTTCTCCTGGGGCGCGTGGGGACGATTTCAGACCTGATTTTCTGTCAGGGTTTATTAGCAAGGGTCAGGTCAAATTGTGCCTTGCCACCAGAATGGTATGTCCGAGGTTTGTGGAGGGGCAGCTAACCAGGCAGATGCCCAAGTGTCTACCTGGGAAGCAGAGGTCCCTTTTCTGCTGGCGCTTCAGGGGACATCCCCACCCCGGCACCTGTGGCTCCATTGGGTGTGGATGGGGCCATCCCAGGGGGGCTGCGCACCCTGTCCTTTCCCTGCTTGCAGCGCTATGCGGTAGGTTTGCTGCGGCCGGCCCTTCTGCGGCAAGAGGCAGCAACTGCTGACAGGAGAAGCCTGTGGCTGTAGCGCCCGTCAATTCTGCGAGTTCATTCATTCTGCAGGAGAAGCTCCTCGGTATCCGCCTGCGCACTCGGGGGTGAACTTGGCAACATTTGCTCCCTTTGTATGTTCAGGAGCTGAAATCCCAGCGCGGCATCCCTGCTGCTGGAACTGGCTGGGGAATCACAAGGCGTTGCTTGTGATTGTGAAAACTTGGAGAGGCCCTCCTCTCCCGCTGCCCAGCCGTGCCAGCAGCCGCAGTGAAGCCCTTCTCCCTGCTAACGTTATATAGGGCACGCCGCTGCGGCTGCTGCCGGCGTGATGTAGGACAGAGGGAGGCTGAATCCAGGTCATGTGGGAAAGGTGATCTCGGGATCCGAAACGAGGACATTTAAGGACCGGCTGGAGCGCTGGCACCGGCGGCGGTTCGGGAGCGGCGGGCTCCCGTCTCGCCCCCCCTCGACGGCCGCCGCGGTTACGCGACCTCCCAGCCCGGGCCCA